CGGCGTCACCAAGATCGCGCGCTCGGTCATCGCGCCGCTGGCCGAGCACCACGTCTCCGTGCTGATGCTCTCCACCTACCAGACCGACTTCATCCTGGTGAGCGCTGGGCTGGTCCATGGGGGTGCTGGGTGAGGACCCCTCTGGCCCCAGCTGGTGCTGGTGGTGATGCTGGGCCTGATCCTGTCCCCTGGTCAGGTCCGGGAGCGCGACCTGCCGGTGGTGATCCACACACTGGCCGGGGAGTTTGACATCTATAAGGAGGAGAGCGGTGAATGCGTCCCCGTCACCTGCGAGGATGTGAGCAATGGGTTCCTCAAGCCCAAGCTGGGTGAGTGACACCGGGTCCATGTCCACCAGGGCCACCCGGTCCCCTCAGAGGTGCTCCAGCTCCCAGCAGTGGTACCCACATCAGGGAATCCCAGCCTGGTTTGGGTGGAAGGGACCTTAAAGCTCCTCCAGCTCCAACCCCTGCCACAGGCAGGGACCCCTTCCACTAGAGCAGCTTGCTCCAAGCCCCTGTGTCCAACCTGCCCTTGAACACTGCCAGGGATGGGGCAGCCACAGCTTCTCTGGGCACCCTGTGCCAGCGCCTCAGCACCCTCCCAGGGAAGAGCTTCTGCCTCAGAGCTCATCTCAGTCTCCCCTCTGGCAGGTTAAAGCCATTCCCCTTGGCCTGTCCCTACATCCCTTGTCCCAAGCCCCTCTCCAGCTTTCCTGCAGCCCCTTTATGCCCTGGAGCCGGCACCCCGAGGGATGTGGGGCTGTGGCTGCGGTGGCCACGCGGTGGCACTGCGCGCCTGTCCCCAACCTGACAGGTGCCTCTTCCCCCCCCCCCAGCTGCCAGCCCCACACTGCACCCGGTGCAGAGCCCCCAGACCCGCTTCTGCATCCTGACCGTGGCCCCCGACACGCTGCCCGCCATCGCCACCATGCTCATCGACGTCCTCTTCTACTCCCACAGGTGGGTCCTGGCAATGGGACGTGGTGGGTGCTTCTTGCCCAGTGCCACCCATCCCTCCCTCCATCCATCCACTCACCCTTGCGCCTCCTGAGCTGCAGTGACGAGTTTCCCTTTCCCCTTGCTCCCAGGGGCTTCTCGAGCTCTGGGTGTGTTTTGCAACCTGGTTTCACCCTCCTGACCCGCATGTGGCTGCTGTGTGTCCCACTGCCACCATGGGAGGTGGGAGCCCCAGGGCAACACAAGGACAAGCCCCCCACTGCAGCAGAGCAGGAGAGATGGGTTATGAAACTGGTGGCGATGGTGCCGTAGCAAGGGGATGCTCCTGGCCGTGTCCCCTGGGATGAGGCCCTTCCTGGGGCACCCTCCTGCTTCAGACCCACTGCAGCGCTGTGGGAATGCCCTAAGTCCTGGTGTCACCCCTGTCCCCAACCCAGCCCTTGTGCGAGCTGCACACCCTGGGGTATCACCGCCCCCCCCAGCTCCCCAGTCCCAGCTCACCCAACACGTTGCCCTGTGCCACCACCGAGCCCTTTCCACCTCATTTTGGGGACCACGACCCTTTTCCTGCCCTGCAGCCCCCCGCGGGAGGCTGGCGCCGCCAGCCCGGACCTCGACTCCATCACCTTCTTCGCCTTCTCCCTCATCGATGGCTACATCTCCATCGTGATGGACGCCGAAACCCAGAAGCGGTGGGTGCTGTCCCTGGGGGTGTCCATCCCTCTGCCCCCCCCCCGGGGGCTGAGTGAACCCCAGGAAAGGGGGGGTTCAAACCGCACCCCCCTCTCTCAGGTTCCCCAGTGACCTGCTGCTGACCAGCTCGACGGGGGAGCTGTGGCGGATGGTGCGGATCGGGGGGCAGCCCCTCGGCTTTGGTGAGACACGTCCCCATCCTCCCCTGGCCTGCCCTTGGGGTGACGCTCCCCTTGTGCATCCCCATGGCACCGAGGCCACCGCTCTATGGGGACCCCTTTCCTGCCCAGACGAGTGCGGCATCGTGGCGCAGATCGCGGAGCCGCTGGCTGCTGCCGACATCTCTGCGTACTACATCAGCACCTTCAACTTCGATCACGCCTTGGTGAGCCCCTGACCCCCCTCCCCAGGGACCCACCGCCCTGGGGGTGTCCCCATGGGGCTGACAACCCCGTTCCCCCCCCCGGCAGGTCCCTGAGGAGGGCATCGCCGAGGTCATCCAGCTGCTGCAGCAGCGCCAGGACAGCAGTAGATAGTGGCCGGTTGTCCCCATGCCGGGGTTGGGGGGGTGCCCCTGCCCCTCCTCACCCCACGTATTCCTTAGTTTTAATGTTAAGGCTCCCCATGGTGTGGGGCAGAGGCGGGTGCAGCACCGCTCCCTGCCTGCTGGGGATGTGGGGACCCGGTGGCCTCATGGCAATGGGACAGTGGTCCTGCTGTGCCATCCCATGCCTCCATCCCTGCTAGGGGGCTCAGGAGGAGAACGGATGTCCCCAGGGACCTGCTGGAGGAGGGGACATGGAGGGGACATGCCGCAGAGCAGTGATGGGGGTGACAGCCCAGGATGTGTCCCCATGACCCGTGTGTGCCCCTACGGGTGGTCCCCTTGGGTGGGAAGTGGCCGTGATGCTCTGGAGCACCCCTGGACCAGCCCCTTCTTGGTGAAAAGCCTCCCTGGAGCTGGGCTTCCCCCTGGCATCCCAAAGCTCCCCATAGTGGGGCCCGGTGTCCCCTCCCTGGTGGCTGTCGCCTGTCGTGGTGACCCCAGCTCTGCCAAGCTGCATTTCCACGGAGTTTATTGAGGAGTCAATAAAAGCTGTTATTTTCATTGCCACGTACCTGGGGGGGGGCACTGGGTGGGATGGGAACGGAAGTGACGGGGGGGCACCCCCATGCGCCCAGTGATGGGGTCAGCTCCAATGCCCTCTGCTTTGGGTGCTGGAAACCTCTTTGAGAGCAGCTCAGTGGGGCTGGGGGTGACCCCAGCTCTGCTCCGGTCCCAGCCCCACTGCCCCAGGCAGCAGCAGGGTCCCTGCCGTGTCCTCCCCACGTCAGCTCCCGCCGGGTTCCTGCGGTGGCTTCAGGCTCCTCTTTCCTGTCTCGTCCCCTGTCATGGGACGCCGGTGACGTGCCCAACGATGAGGAAACTGCCCCGGCCCATGCGGTCACCGGCGCTGTTCCTGTCCCTGCTGCGGCTGCACAGGCCCCGCCACCCGCCTGCCCCGGGGGTCACAGCCATGGGGAGCGAAGGGGAGCGAAGGGTGGGTGTGAACTGCGCTGCTCTGCCTGCAGGGTCCTGCTCACCCGGGCACAGCACTGGGGTCCTGCCACGGCAGCGCGCATGCTGGAGGGTCCACAGGGACAGGGAGGGAGGGAGGGATGCATGGATGGATGGATGGATGGAGAGAGGGATGGATGGATGGGTGCATGGATGGATGGATGGGTGGGTGCATGGATGGATGGGTGCATGGATGGGTGCATGGATGGATGGGTGCATGGATGGATGGATGGATGGATGGATGGATGGATACATGGATGGATGGATGGATGGATGGATGGATGGATGGATGGATGGATGTGTAGAAGGAAGGACAGATGGATGCATGGACAAATGGATAGATAGATAGATGGATGGACACACACAGATAGATTGGTGGATAGGTGGATGGATGGATGAGTGGATGCACGGATGCATGGGCAGTTGATTCATTGTATGGCTGACAGGTAGACAGACAGGTTGATGGAGAGGTGGGCAGGTGGTGGACATGCAGATGGGTGCATGGATGGATAGGTGGACATACGGACAGATGGCAAGGGGCTGTCTAGACAGATGGACAAACTCCTACAGACAGATGTGCAGAGAGAAGGATGCTCTCCTGGTCCCGGCCCCCCAGCCCCAGCCCAGCACCACCTCTGCTGTGGGACACGTGGAGAAGGAGGAGGCAGGTCCTGCCCTGGGGACTCCTCAGCTTGCGGGTGCCTGGGGGGGGAAATTCAGGGAAAAGAGAGCGCTTCTTCCCCCTGGGGTGAGTCACGGGCGCGCTTCCGCCTGGAGCAGACGTTATCCCTGGGCAGTCCCCCCCGTGCCACCACCGAGCCCTCCCAGGGTGGAAGTCTGGCGAGGGGAAGCTCCCTCTCCTCACACCGGCAACTTGGTGGCACCAAAACAGAGCCCAGTGTGTCCCAAAGAGCTGATCCCATCACCCATTTCATGGAGCAGGCAAAGCCGGCTCCATGTGCTGGGAAAGGGGAGCTGGGGCGGGGGTACGGGGGCTGTTTGCAGTGGGTGCTGCTGTGGTGCTGGAGCTGGTGCTGAGCAAGCTGGGCTCTCCCATGGTGGTTGCATAAGGCTGACGCAGCAGTGAGGGCAGCGCTGCCCGCACCACGCTTCCGCTGCCCTTGGGCAACACCCGCCGCATGTGGTTCCTCCCCAAGGGCACCCATGGGTGCTGCTGGGCAGAGGGGCTGAGCCACACTCCACCAGCACCCAAAGCCATCACCTACAGGGATGGGTCGTTGGGAGCAGATGGGTGGAGGGATGGAGCATCCTCTGGAGCATCACTGAGTGCCGTGGCCATGCTGGGATGCTCAACTTTCCCCTCCCATTTGGGTCCCCAGGAGGCTTTTGGACAGGGATTGGCTTGTCCCTGCAGCAGGACCAGGGACTATGGGCTAGGGGATGGATGCATGCGCCTGGCACATGCTGTTTGTGCCTCCAGGCCTGATGCCAGGGTGATAGGCTCAAAGGGCTGAGCTCACAGCACAGTGCAGTCCCTGGGCATCCCAGGATGCTACAAACTTCCCAGGCTTCCACCTCCCTCCTTATCCAGACAGGATTTAGCTCCCATGACTGGACCCACTATGGGAAGACCCCTGTGATGGGACATGCGTGTCCCCACATGGTGGCACCCCCGTCCCTGGGTGCCAGCCCCGCCGCTGCCGCGCTCTTTTGCATTTGGGTTTTGGGGCAGCTGAGGCTGCTTTCGGTTCACCCACCCCACTGGGTGCCGCGCAGTGAAACCAGCGTGACTCAAAGCATCCCTTCTCCAGGAAGCCGGGTCCTGGGGTTCCGGGATGAGCAGCGGGACCCACACGGACTCCCTCGAGGAACTGAATCGAAGAACGAGCCCGTTGGCCGGGCAGCATCATTTCCTCCTGCCGCTCATTGGCCCCGGGGCACGGCCTCGCTCCCCGCTGCCTCCCCGCTGGGGCCGGGTGCCCCGGTCGGAGGTGGGGGCAATGGGTGCTCTTTAAAAGGCGAAGTTCCCCATCGGCGGCAGTGAAGGAAGTGAACTCGCGCCGAAACACCCTGCCCCGGCCATGCGGAGCGACGGGCGGCCCTGGTGCGTGCTGGCAGGTACGTGGCTGCTGCCGGGCCTCGCCTGCCCGTGGGGCTCACGTTGGGGGGGCTCAGGGCAGTGATCGGGGGCTGCTGGTGTCACCCAGGCTGTGCCCTGCCTGTGTCACCTCCCCAGGGTGCGGGCAGGGGACGGGTGCATCCCACCCCCCGTGGGAGCACGGGGATGGGCATCCCGTGGGGGTCCCTTTGTGCGCGGGGAAGGGGGTGGGCAGGAGGGGGCATGGTTTGGGGTCAGTGTGGGGACTGATGGCTGAGTCAGTTGGTTGCTGGCACAGACCCTGCAGCCCCTCAAGTGCAGCAGCGCTGGGTGCTGGGTGCTGGTCCAGCGCATCTGAGGCCACTGCCGGCACACAGCCATGGGTGACAGTGGGGTCAGGAGAGCATCCAGCTGGAGGCAAGGGGTCAGATCCAGGGGTGTCACCGCTGTCTCCACCTTCATGGTGGCCCATGGTGACAGGCAGCTGCTGGGGTAACCGCTGTGGCTGCTCAGTGGCATCTTTACCACTCTTGTCCTCATCTTCCTGCTCCCTGCTGGGTCCTCAACGAGCTTTCAGCACAGGGGCTCGTCCCTGCAGCAGGACTGGGGACTGTGACACAGGGGATGGTTGCATGTGCCTGGCACAAGCTGTTCCTGCTTCCAGACCTGATGCTGAGGTGATGGGCGCACAGGGCTGAGCTCTCCCTGTGGCACAGGGACCAGTGAGCCTGTGCCTTTCCGGCACGGACAAGGGGCTCCCTCCCTGCACCCAGCGATGCCCCAGTGTCCCCTCCTGACGCTTCTTTTCCTCCCCAGTTGTCACCAAAGGGCTCTTCATCCTCTGGGCGGTGCCGGGCCAGGGGGGGCGGTCCCTGCAGCCCCCCACCCTGCAGCAGATCCAGGCGCTGGTAAGGCACATGGCCGAGGATGCGCAGGACCTCTTCACCTTCTATGTGAGTCCCCGTCCCCAGGGTGCGGGGTCGCTCCTGTCCCCTCCACGGGGGGGCACACAGCGCTGGGGGGGGTGTGGGGATGTCCCCGTTCTGTTCCCATCCCACCCCCCTGACCTTTCCCTCCCACCCCGAGCAGGAGGAGGACCAGCGCCTGGCATTCCACCACCTCTGCCGCACCAACCACCCTCCCGAGTGGCTGCGGGGCCCGGTGCTGGGGCCCGGGGGGCTGCGGGGGCTGCGGGGGACCATGGCCCGCATGGCTCGGGCGCTGCAGGACATCACCCGGCAGCAGCGCGACCTCAACCCGCCCGGTGCCGAAATCCTGCGCCGCTTGGCCAGCACCCACCTGAAGGTGCGGGGGCTCCTCAACAACCTGGACGGGCTCTTCCCGGCCCCCCGGCCCGGCCCCCGGCCCGCGCCCGGCCCCACGGCACCCACCAGGGTGTTCCGGCAGAAGCTGGAGGGCTGCCGGCTCCTCTGGAGCTACGCGCGCTTCATGGCCAAGCTCAGCGCCCAGCTGGAGGCTCGGATCCGAGCCCGAGCGCGCCGGGATAAGCGGAGATCACACCGGGGCTCGCAGCTGCCTGCACGCTCCTAGCGTGGCCACTGGAGGTGTCCATGTGTCATCATCTCCATCATCTCCATTCTACCCATCCCTTTCCCTGCGGTGGACACTCTCCGGCTGGCCGGGATGCACCATGGGGACCCCCTAAGCTCGCAGGGGTGAGGACACCGGCGTGCCCGGAGGAGCTCCCATCACCTCAGCTTGCCATGAGGACCAAGCTGTCCCCGTGCCACCGCTCGCCCGGCTGCAGGACAGCCCCGCTCTTCTCCCAGCAGCTCCCCCATCTCCTGCCCCACGTTCCGGTGCCGTGGGGAGCTGCACGCTCCGGTGTCCCCAGTGCCACCGCGGCGGGATGGAGCTGGTCCTTGTCACTGAGCTCTGCCGGAGTTTCCAGTGATTCAGTGGGTCTGGTGACCCAGCCTGACTAAGAGCCAGCACCCGCCTGCGCTGGGGCTGCCGGCCCCTGAGAGCATCTTGGAGTGGGATCCTATGAGCCCCACATCCCTGGGAGCTTGGTGTCCCTGTGTGTTCCACGTGTCTGCAAGCTCCATGTCCCTGTGCGCTCCGTGTCTCTGCAAGCTCCGTGCCCTTGGCGTCCCATCAAGCTGTGTGTCCCCACAAGCTCAGTGTCACTGTGCTCACCCCTGGGCTCATCCCTATGCTCTCAATGTCCCCCTGTGTTTGGTGTCCCTGCGCTTGTCCCTGTGTTGCGCCTCTGTGCTCACTCTTGCACACACGGTGTCCTCATGCTCTGGGTGTCCCCATGCTCATGATGTCCCTGTGCTCTCAGCATCCCCATGTCCTGGGAGAACCCAGGCTCATCCCTCTCTGCTCAGTGTCCCTGTACCCTCAAGTGTCCCCAGGCCCCTCGGGCTGTGCCAGGCAGGGGCTGGGCTCCAGCCACCACACTGTGACACTGGGTGGTGGCACACCCTCACCCCCCCATTAATTTATACTGTATTATTTGTGTGTTTTTGTATTTATTGACTCCTGGTGTTAATTTAATGTGTCCCCACAGTGGGAAGAGATATTTAAGGACATGCTTTTAATATATAAATATCTATTTTTGTGATAAATCTTATTTTGTATCAACTGAACGTGATGAGGGTTTATTTATGGGTTTCACTATATTTTGGTACTGTGAGAAGGGCAGAGCCCGGGTCTGTGTAATGGCACAGGAAATAAAGCGCTGACATCAGCCCACGGGCCCTGTGTCCCTCTGTCCTGATGTCCCTGTGTCCTGGTGTCCTTGTGTCCTGGTATCCTGGTGTCCCGATATCCCTGTGTCTAGGTGTCTGTGGGCAGAGAGGGGCTGTATTCCGGTGTCCTTGCCCAACCACATGGTGCAGCATGAGCTGGGACCTGGCCTGGCACATGGCGTGGCATGGCATGGGATGCAGCACACTATGGGATGTGGCACTTGGTGGGATGCAATATGCGATGACATGGGGCACACAATGGGATGCAGCGCACAGTGGTATGTGGCACATGATGGGATGTGGTACCTGGTGGGATGTAGCATGGAATGACATGTGGCACATGATGGGATGTGGTACCTGGTGGGATGCAGCATGCAATGACATGTGGCACATGATGGGATGTGGTACCTGGTGGGATGCAGCATGCAATGACATGTGGCACATGATGGGATGTGGTACCTGGTGGGATGCAGCATGCAATGACATGTGGCACATGATGGGGTGTGGTACCTGGTGGGATGTAGCATGGAATGACATGTGGCACATGATGGGATGTGATACCTGGTGGGATGTAGCATGGAATGACATGTGGCACATGATGGGATGTGGTACCTGGTGGGATGTAGCATGGAATGACATGTGGCACATGATGGGATGTGGTACCTGGTGGGATGCAGCATGCAATGACATGTGGCACATGATGGGATGTGGTACCTGGTGGGATGCAGCATGCAATGACATGTGGCACATGATGGGATGTGGTACCTGGTGGGATGTAGCATGGAATGACATGTGGCACATGATGGGATGTGGTACCTGGTGGGATGCAGCATGCAATGACATGTGGCACATGATGGGATGTGGTACCTGGTGGGATGCAGCATGCAATGACATGTGGCACATGATGGGGTGTGGTACCTGGTGGGATGCAGCATGCAATGACATGTGGCACATGATGGGATGTGGTACCTGGTGGGATGCAGCATGCAATGACATGTGGCACATGATGGGATGTGGTACCTGGTGGGATGTAGCATGGAATGGCATGTGGCACATGATGGGATGTGGTACTTGGTGGGATGCAGCATGCAATGACATGTGGCACATGATGGGATGTGGCACCTGGTGGGATGCAGCATGCAATGACATGTGGCACATGATGGGATGTGGTACTTGGTGGGATGTAGCATGCGATAACATGCGGCGCATGATAGGATGCAGCACATGGCACGGCGCAGTGTGGCACATGGCGCTGTGTGGCACATGGCATGTGACGTGGCAAAGCACCACATCTCATGGCATGGACTGGCAACACCATTGAAGTGCCATGTGGCAGTGGGGCACAACCCATGTGCCACATGTCACCCAGCCCGGTCTGCAAGTGACCTGGAGCAGCTAAACCAAAGCTCCCTTTGCTGTGGCCACCGCGGGGACCCGGCCACCCGATGCCACCGCTGAGTCAAAAACCCTGAGACCAGGTCATGTGGCCCTGGAGTCACTTGTTCCCCCCTGTGCCGTGTGCCGTGTGCCGGTGCCGTGTGCCGGTGCCCGCGGCTGCCCAGCACCGGCACCGCCTCGCTCAGTCACAGGGAGCATCGGCACCGGGACGGCCGCCACTGCGCTGGCACCACTGCCGTTGGGGACACAAGGAGGGGGCCACGATGTCACCATGAAGCAGCCCGGGCCGGTTTGCCACGCTGCAGGTGACGGTGCCACCACCCGCCGCTGCACCCCGGCAGCGTGCATGGGCTGCGGAGGGGAGGGCGCAGGTACGTGACCCCCGGGACTGGCCCTTGGGGGGTGAGGGGACACCCAGAGAGGGGCTGGCTGTCACCAGGGCTGCTGCCAGCCCACAGGTCTCCATGGGGACAGGCAGGGGGACCCCAGCGCCCATCCCATGGGAAAAGCCACCCCATGGTGGGGACATCCCTTGGGCATAGTCCCCAAGGGTCCTGCCACAGGGACCTGCCACTGGGATGGATGCGTGCCTGGGGGTGACACCAGTGGGGCTCAGAGGGGAGGCACCAGACTCATTCCCCTGGCATCCCAACCCCCACCCCCCCCCACCCCCCCCCGTGCAGCCCCAACCCTGGCCCCCAGGGTAGAAATCTGGGGTTCCCCCCCATAACCCTAAATGGAGACAGCACGGGATGGGGACCCAGAGGGGACCCAGGAGGGGAGTCTGGGATGGGATGGGATGGGGTTGGGGACAGGGCCAGGGGGAGGAGGGCAATTATGGGATGGGGCAGTTCTGGGATGGGTATTGGGGGGACACATAATTACGGGATGAGGATGGAGGGGGCAACTCAGGGATGGGGAGACGAAAGGTCTGGGATGGGGGTAAGTTCTAGGGTGGGAATAAGGGGACATTTCCTTGTGGGGATGGGGCGAGGGGGGTAATTATGGGATGGGGAGTGTCTAGTTCTGGTCTGGGGCAGCAGGGGGCAGCATGGGGACAGGGATGGGGAGGGGGGGGACAGAGGTGGCCTTGGGACGCTCTGGGCTGGTGCCCATGCTCCTGGGCAGGCTGGGCATGGTGGGGACAGCAGCACGGCAGCGTTCGGTCACTGCCTCCTGCCCGCCCTGCCTCCAGCTCCGCTCCTGGGGTCCCCAAGCTGGGGACACCCCGGGGGCACCCCCAGGTTCCCTCTGCTCCCTCCGATGGGGAGGGCTCCCCCCACTTCCCAACCAGCCCCTTCTCCTTGGGACCTACCGGGTTCCCTTCATGCCAGCACCTCATCCCTCGCCCGCATCCCACCTTTCCATGGCACATCCCTGCGGGATCTGCGTAGGGACATTTCTGCCACCAAAGTGATTGGGAAAGGGGACTTTTCCTGGGCATCTCCCCTGTCCAGCCTGGCCTGACCAGGGATTCAGGTTTTCCTATTGGAGCATCCTCCCCTCTAAAGGGAGAACCCTCCTTTTTACCCTGCCATGAAAACTATTACAAACGAACCCCCAAATCCTTGCCCAGCTCCTCATAGCAGCCCTGGGCTGAGGAAATTGTGGGAATGGGCAGCAAATGTCAATCCCTGCACACAGCCGCTCCGAGAACATTCCCTGTTCATTAAGAAACACCCATTCCCGAGCTAATGAAGTGCCATCAGGCATCAGCTCTCTGCCAATAACTGAGGTGCTGCTCACTGCATCCCAATGAAACCAGGCGTGGGCTGCGGGGGCTTCCCAGTAAGAACAGACTGGGCTGAAATGGGCTGTGGGGCACCAATGCCACCGGTAAACCTGGTTCATCCATGGGGAAACTGAGGCAGGCAGCAGCTACGTGCCCAGCACCCTCGGCCAGCACAGGGGGGTCCTGGTGTCCCCTCGGGGTGCCACACGGGGGACACCGGGGTCGTGGTGGCTCTTGCATCACCATTCCTCGACTGTCACCGGCGGGTTCACGCTGCCAGGGCACAAACTTGCTAAACCTGATCCAAAGTTTCAGCTGGGCCGTGCCCCTCTGAGGCAGAAAACACACACAAAATCCACAGAGCAACATCCCCTTTAACCCCTTTTACACCCAACCCGGGGCGCAAACAGCACCCTCATCCCACAGGACCCCACCAGGGGCTGACCCCTGCTCAGGTGCTCATTTCCATACTGGGTTTAGCACCTTCCCAACCAGCCCAGCGCAGGCAGTGGGGATGGAGGGGTTAATGGGGGGGGGGGGGGGGGCCTGCCCAGCCTCTCCCCCTGGGTGGGTTTGTCCTTTTTCCTCCAGAAAACCCACCCTTTACTCCTGACATTGGTGCCCAAAGGGACAAACCGATGGCGGGATGGGGGACACTGATGCCACCGCATCCACCTCACTGTGAGCGGGGCTCCCGCACCCCTCGGGGGACCCCGACATCACCTTTTACCCCTCCAACCCCCCCCCCCAAGTCATCTTTATCCCCCCTTCATTATAGCGACTGATGCTGCAGCCGCCGGGGAAGCCCCATCCCGGGGAGGGGGCCCCGGGGGTGAAAGTGCTGGTGGCTCCGTGACTCACGGCCCCGTGTGCTCACATCGCGCCTCGACAGCGGCACCGCGACACCCCCGAACCCCACGTGCGGCCGCTGGCCTCCCTGCGGGACGGGGGCAATCCCCATTCCCCCCCCCCCCCCTCCGTTTCCCTTCCCACCCACATCCCCGCAGCACCTCCCCGGCCCCGTGCGTGAAAAGGATTGAAAAATAAAAGGCAGCAGCCCCCAAAGCCGCAATCCCGGTGACATCAACTTTATCAGAAGTTTATTTCTAAGAATCATTCAGGATTTCCAAAGCCCTCGACTTCCTGATTTTCAGTTTCAATAGAAGTAACGATAGTGGTGCTGCTCCCCCCCGCGTCCCCCCCTCCTCCCCTTTCTTACAACACAGGCTGGCTGCCGGACCGGTATATAAACCCCGAGAAGTCCCCCAGTATGAACATGAATTTCTGAAAACTCCCTCTGCCAACACCAATCCCTATTAAGTCGCTCCCGGGACGCGGCTCACAATGAAGTTCGTGCCGGCAGGTAAAAAGAAAACTCAGCTCCGGTGGGGGGGGATTGTTCCCCCTTTCCCACCCTTCCTTCCCTCTCCCCCCGCTCCTCTTTCCCCGGTGATGCTCGGGCACAGGCGGGTCCCGGGTCGCCGCCGCTGCCAGAGCCGGAGCCAGGGCTCCCGCCACGCCGCGTTCCCCCGGGATGAGCATCTCTGGGAATTGGCAGCCGGGAGCGAAGCGCGGCGCTGGCGCGGTGCAGCCAACATCTGGACACTTATATAACTGGAACCGCGGCCAAGAAACGGGGAAAGAAACCCAAAACGGGGGGGGGGGATAATTTTCTTTTGGGGCTTTTTTGGGCTTTTTTATACTTTTCCACCCCCCTCCTGCTTTTCCTCCTTCTGCGGCTCCCAGTGCTCTGGACCGCCGCTGCCCC